CAAGGATCTATCGTAAAGCAGAGGAAAAGGGATCGCAAGGAAGAAGAGGGTGAGGCAGTTTAGGAAAGGAAACGAAGACCTTCTCAGTGAGTGTAGTTAGCTTGAAGAATCCCTTAATTTATTTATGTTGCAATACCTTTCATTTCGTTTATAGAGGCGAGTGGAAGGGATTCGTATGTTTGCCTCATCGGAAGTTGTGACTAGATTTATGTGAGATTATGTGTCTAGTTAGGTTTGAACTTTTGTATTGGCCACTTTCATTCCGCAAACAAGCAACCTCTAGAGATCAAATTTCGTTTCATACTTTGGAAGGTGAAGTAATTTTTAACTCCTTTGGGTTGTCTGTCCTTGAAAGCAAATTATTTAGGATAAAAATGACAGCTAAAATCAAAGGTCTCGTATTAAGTCAAAAAGTTTAAAGGAAGTACCAACTATTTGATCTGAAACAGATCAAGAACTAACAAATTACTCATCAAGGAGTTCCTCACTCGGCCAGGTACTCAATCTGACTTTTCAAGTATCAAGGCTAGGATAAATATAAAAAATAAAATTATCTAGATGTTGGAGTACCTTTCATTTCGTCTGAAGAGGCGAGTGGAAAGTTCGCCTCACCGGAAGCTGTCGGGGGATTGTCTGGAGGTGTGACTGTAGATTTATGCGAATGGGTCCTCGGCGAACCACCCGGCAACCCTGATGAATTCTTGCTGAGCTTTCGTCTGACGGATATCGTCATCATACTTCCAGCCTTGATACTTGGGAAGGCAGATTGCGTATCTGGCAGGATGAAGAACTCAGTGATGAGCCCTTTGTTCGTTCTTGATCTGTTTTAGATCAAACAGTTGATACTTTCTTTTGGCATGCCTTATTTTTTGACTTAATACGAAACCGTCGATTTCAGCTATCATTTTTATCTCAAATAATTTGCTTTTATGGACGGAAAACTTGAAACCTTTACAAATTACTCCACTTTCAAAAATATCAAGTGAAATTGGATCTCTAGGGAATTTTTCTTGTTTGCAGACTGGAAAAGTGGCCAACATCAAAGTTCAAGCCTAACCAGACATGTAATCTCGAGACATTTATTGTTGACTTTGCATTGCGTCTGCATATTAATGATCTCTTTTTTTCCATCAGGCACAAAAGTATTAGACGACACAGCCTGTTCGAAATGAGCCAGACGAGGTGACTATCTCCATCGATCCTAAATTTCAGACGCGCAAAAGTTATCGTAGGTAGAGAGTGAAGCAAATTAAAAATGTTGATAAATATGATTGCAAATTGTCATTGGCAACTCTATATTCTCTACTTCACTTACCATTTTTATCAAGGTAGTAAGTAAATTATTTATAAGCCTTAGCAAAATCTCTCTACTTGGCAGTGCTGTATCTAACACTAATCCTTAAATCGTAGATATGAAAACCAAGATAGCTTGACCTTAAATTTTGTCTCACTCTCCTTATTGAGTATCCTGTATTGAGTTACCTTGACCTAGTTTTTGAGACTTAGTTGGGTCGCCCTCTCTCATATTAGTCACAATAATTTCCAGCATCGGACTGCTGACTTGGTTCATCCCCGGGCATTTCGTCGGTATCATTAGGGAGAGGCGCCATCCTTAACACCTTGTCTCACATCAAAGTGACAAGTGAAGGTAATATCCTTGACCTATTTTCTGTTCAATCATAGTAGCATCTTCCCTCCGCCGTCCTAACTTACTATGCTTTATCGTCATCCCTCAACATCACTTTATATGGTCAATTTACTATATCTGCTCCATTGTCACCTTAGTGCGCCACTATAAAATAAAACAGAATTAGTTTTTAATTTTCTTAAACGATATTGATCAAAAGTCACCTTTTTATTGGATAGTTACTATTCAATGGTCCAATGCTGAAATGTATCATGACTACTGTGACAAAGGACGCTGTACTGAGTACGCTCCCTATCGTTCCGATCAAGTCGTTTAAACGAGGTTGTAT